ATAACTTTTAAGCTTGTATATGATTCCATAACACTTCTAAGATCAAAATCAAACATAATTTCAATCAAATTCAACTTCCCCATCATCCACCAAAAATACACATTTTCACATTTCAACATAAAACAATGCAATACTTATACCAATTTGTAGAGAAACTAGTGTACAACATTTTCTTATTTCATAACTTAGTCCTAAATCTCACTAAAATGGACTAAAAATGAAAAAAAAAAATTTCTCTACCTTGGCTATGGAGTTTCGATTAGCTAGTAGAGAAGAAGAGAAATTTCAAGAGATTCATTCAAAATATCTATTTACTTTACCTTAAAAGCCCATTTAAAATGAATTAAAAATTCCTTTTAGCCCAAAAGTCAAAATTGCCATTAATGAATCCTAATATTTACTTCCATGCCATCCTTTTATCTACATTTTAATATTCTTTTTTAAATATAAAAATCTCATTTAACAATTTCCCTTTTTGCCCTTCTAATTTTTCAAAAATTTAATTTAGTAACTAAATTGCACTATTCCACTTTATAGATGCAAATTCAACTAATCCACATAAAATTCCATTGATTAAAATTATCTTTAAAATTTTCTAACTCAAAACTACATTCCTTTAAGTTTTTGTAATCTTCTGATTCGATCCTGATATCCAAATATTATATCAATCTTTATCCTTTAATAGACTTTTATACAACTCCAAATCAAAAATCTAAAACCCACTAAAATATTATTCTTGGGCTGAACTTCTCATTTACAGAACCAAAAACATAACTTTTGAAAATTTATATTTTTAATCCCTAAACTTTTACAACTTTACATTTGGTCCCTAAATTTTTGAATTTTATATTTTAGTCACTGGTCCAAAATGTGGGATATTTCATGGGAGATTTGTATTTGACATGTCCCATTCTTTGGCATTCAAAGAACACCGGGAGACCATTCCTCTTGCTCGATTCATGCTTTACTCATTTCTTTTTGGAAGACATGAATTTAGTGAATCTTTTGAAGAGATTGACCATCGCTTCATCTTCATCCACTTCTTCACTTAAGTCTTGATTACTCTCATTGGTTGATGTGAAGGTGATTTCCACCTCCTTATTTTTTATTCTTCTTCTTCATTATTCTTTTGGAGTTTCGCCTCATAAGTGAGAAGAGAATCGATAAGCTCATCGAGGGTGTACAACTCCAAGTCCTTGCCTTATTCGATGGCGGTTTCTTTGACTTCCCATGATGTGGACAATGAGGCAAGAATCTTTCTCACTATTTCTTCATTGGGATAAACCTTCCCAAAGTTCTTCAACTTGTTGATGATTGAAGTGAACCAATCGGACATTGTCTTTATGTCTTCATCGAGCTTCATCTCGAAGTTCTCGTATTTGAGAGTGAGAATGCCAATCTTGGACTTCTTCACTTGGTTTGTTCCTTCATGGGTTACCTCTAACTTGTCCCAAATCTCTTTAGCATTAGAGCATGAAGATACTCTACTATATTCCTCCGAGCCAAGAGCACAAAAGATGATGTGCATGGCTTTGGCATTGAGTTGGGCAAGCTTCCTATCTTCACTTGTCCACTCCGATCGATTCCTTGAAGGGGTGGGAGAATCGTTAATGATGACATCCCAAACAACAAGATCGGTGGCTTGGATGTACATCATCATCATATTCTTTCACTAGGAGTAATTTGCTCTATTAAAGTAAGGAGGCCTATGGATGGAGTGAAAGTCCTCAAGGTAGTAAGCACCGGATGTGGAAGTCATCTTCTCAATTGTGTTGGGAATTGATAGAGAGCCTTCAAGGATCTTCAGAAGGTTGTTATACCTTCGATTTGTGACTCACTCTGATACCAATTGTTGGCTTTTACGTTGCTCTATCGATCAACCAAAATTGTTGCAAAGAGGGGGTGAATTGTCCTTTTTAAATTTTTGGGAATTAAGAAGAAATGATAGAAAAATTGGCTCAATGATTTATAGTGGGTCAACTTCCTCAATGAAGTCTACATCCACTACCTTAGCTCCTCACTAAGGATTTCTAACAAATTCACTAATTTGTTCTTTCTTTTTCTAGGATCAAGAGTAACCTTTACAAATTTCCTATCTTTTACAATGACTAAGATAGAACCAAAACCCCTTTTCAAAAAGGATGAAATATTGTAAACAAGAGAAAAGGAAAAATAAGATTGAAAGAGTTTTTCTCTTGATGTGGATTGCTTGGATATGTGTTGTAAAAAAATTTCAAGTGTCCTCAACTTGTTTTTATATGTTAGAATTAGTTTGTAGCCGTTGTTTTGGAGCCGTTAGAACTCTTAATTTTGAGCATTAAATGCTCACTTGCAACTTTGGTATCGATACCAAGAAGTTGATATTCAGACCGAGCATGAAAAACATTCAAATTATAGCCGTTGAAGCCTCGATATCGATACTATTTGAAGGAGTATTGACACTCACCTTCCAGTATCGATACCACTTTCTGGAATTTTGGTCTCGAGATTGACATGCTGGTCTCGAGACTGAAAACAATTTTTGGCTAATTTCAAGTGTTTTGAGCTTTAAAACAATATTTAAAAGTTTGACAAAATTAGAAAACATTTAAATTTTATTTTCAAATTAATTTGGACTTTGAATTATTTTTGAATCATTTGAGAAAATTTAATTAAGTCCAAAAACATTTTGCCCTTATTAGTTATATCAAAATATAGGTTCAACAGGTCGAGATACATTTGCTACGATATCGAGATGCCTTTGCCTTGACTATGCACAAATCTAAGATATGATGACCATATCTATTTAGTTTGGTGACTTATAAGTAGCCATAATAACCATATGTCTGACACCATCAGTTAATATCACTATAAATACCCTCAACCATGACTCATAAATGAGACTCTTTTTCTTTCGAACTTTTCCACCTTCAACCTAAAACAATTTCGTCTACCACACCACCTTTCTTCTCCTATCTCTAACATAAAATCACCGACTGATGATCGTCTTTGTATCGACTTCGGCTCTTCACCCAAACTAAAAGGGATGAACCGTCAACAGTCGACACAACTCACTTGTTTTCATCAACAAACTCTGTAGTGATTGATGAACAAAAGCATAATAAATAAAATGCATGCATAGTCAAAGTCAGGTACAAACACATGATATTATGTTAGGAGAGACAAATTTAAACCTTTGGGTATCTTAACTAGCAGCCATTTACAGCTACAAAGATGAAATTTACAACCTAAAAGGAAATCCAAACATTATATTTACGGTGTTCCTAAGCAGAAAGTCTTAAACGTCTGTGAATCTGAGGTGTCTTGGTAGAATCCAAACACCACTTTCAAAGCTTGTTTCTTGGTTTTAAAGCTCTTTACTACCTAAACAACATTATACGGAAAAGAAAGATGTTAACTAAAAACCAAACTCAATAGAGAATAATTTTGACATGAACATCCTTAAAGAACAATAGCTAAAATCAGATTTATTAGTTAGAAATCATGGCGCTAGTTTCAGATAACATGTCGACTTATTACCCTTTCTAATCTGGTGTAACAGTATATGCAAACAAGCGAACAAATATATCATTCTAAGCTTAACCATATTTAAAGAAACATTCAAAAAATAAAATGGACTGCGCATACCGTGGGAGGGTACTATGATACCACTACACTAAATGCGCTGTTATTTAGACTATATGACCAAAGTTAATTATCTATCTTTAATTTTAAAACGATTTAATATGGAATTGTTAAGTGATAAGTTATCAATCATACGGAGTTTTTAATTTATATATATGATTTTTTCATTAATCGATTTTGGTATCTTGAAGTTATGCAAGGATGGGATTTGGTCTCTTCAGTGCTTCGAATTCATTGTTTAACAGCATGAATTCATGGTAGGGATAAGAGTGTTCTTTAAGGCTATTTCATTAGAGAGTCTTGTAGATTTGTACTGACTGCTTGTGCCCTGAATTCTTTCTTCCCTTGCCAGCATTTTGTTAATGTTGTCAGCCTAATCATTTATTCAGTACATTTATTATTCCTTTGAATTCATATCTATCCTCTGAACCTGATATCTTTACCCAAAATGGTTTAGTCTTAATGTTTCATCAGAGCTTAAAAGGGTGCTTTCGGAAGCCGAATGCCTCTCTCTTTCATTTCACAAAGAGGCTGTTTCCACACCTCAAAACAAGTCAAGAATGTACAATCTTCTACTCACTTCCTAGGAGAAAATCACCCCCGAACAAAGCAGCACGAACATTAACAAGAATTTTTCGTCTCCGCGATCCCTCCAACAAAGCAGCGCAACGGCGGATTATGTATTGCCTTGTTCTCTTTCCCCCTCAAAATCTTACTCTTTGATACCTGGACTCCGGTTTGCTTTTGAGAAGGCATTTTTGCTTTGGGTTGCAATATATTTTTTTGTACAGCAGTTGCTGGAGTTGGATTTCGGTTTCCTTGGAAATGAGTAAATAATTGGTGGAAAACAGCAGCAGCAAAGACTTGACTGTTCTTTTTCTTGGCACATAGGTACAGCACTGGCTTCTCATCCGGACTTCAAGCTTCTTTGTCTGTTGATCTAACTTTGATAATGCACCCAATTTTCTTCCAGAATTTATTGCCAAAATGACAAATGACGTTGTGGATAATGAAAATGTAGGATGATTATTTAATGTATGTGCTTCTTGGACTATAGGCACTAGGTAGGGATGCTTTTGCTTTGCTGTAAACAGGTTGAGTCGAGTTCAAAAATTTAGTAAGGTCTTGAACTTTAGAAAAACTTCGGATAAAAATCGACTCATTCGGACTCGTTCATCTAGTTAAAAAAAATGAGCTCGATTTCCATTTTTAGCTTCAAATTGGATTACCTACCAAAGCTAAATGATATCGATGAAAAAATTGAGCATGTAGTGGCAAAACTTTTAGAACAAAATAGTCAAAACCTTGGTTTATCTTTTAAAGGATGGTTTGAACTCCGATTCGACTGTCACTCGCAGCAAAGAGAGAAAGTAGTATATATGAATGTACTTTTCCCTGTAATTAAGGGAGGTATATGTACTGATTTCATTACAGAAAAATAAGATAATGCAAATCCAGTACTAGAAAATCAGACATGAATTCCTTCACAGTTCAATGATCACCATTGATTCCGAATATTCGGACTTTGTGCATGTTGGGGAACTTCGCGACCACCAGCACAACAACGGCCACAGTGTTTAAGAAAAGCACCGGGCTTAGATAATTCGTTGTGTGCGAGGCGATAAGATACCTGAAAAACGAAATGCAAAGTATGTGACAGGGTGACATTAGCCTTAATAGAGGAAAATATCGATGTTCGGGTATTATGTGCTGCAACGCATCATGCAGAGTGAGTCGACCAAGAGACATTCATGGTGTGGAAGCATATTTTGATTAAATATTTCATAGTTTTTGTTCAGATTTTCAATAAAGGCTTATACAGAGCAAAGCGAGCACTTACAGCACAAGAGGTACAACGGTCAAGAACTTCCTGTTGCGAGTGAGTTGCTTGCCATTGTCTATTTGCTCCCACCATGTCAAACCATTGTAGATCCCTTGGTCATCGGCGAACGGTGTTCCTTTTTTCCAGTGAAAGAAGTGATACGTGACCTAACGTGAGATAATCCATGCACACACACTCATTAAGGAACAGAGACTGCAAAGTCGATAAAATTCCGATACTAAATAGCAAAGTCGATAATTAGCACCTTTAACTAGAGATTTTATTTCCCAAAAAGCTCACTTCACATTTATAAACAGCATACCACATTATTTAGACATCTAGGAACAGAAATGTAAAGAACTGAAGACCGACCAGCACGAATTATGACAACTATGGGCTTAGTATAGTGTTTCCACAAGCCCTTTTTGCTTCTATTGCACATTTAGTTTCAAATGGAAGTCGAATGGCCTAACTGGGAAATCAGATTTTTCAGCTGTACACGTGAAATCAGATTATGATCCTGACACTGGCAAATGTTGGTATACGTAGGTTTGTATACCTTTGCGATATAAAGATTCAGACAGAAGAAGGTGCATCGCGAGGAAGAATGGACTGAACTTGAAGGCTCACAAGTATTTTTGATTTCGGAAAACTATAGCAGTGGAAGAATTGGAAGTTTCAGGTGTTTCGCATTTGATTATTGAATGAAGTTGGAGGTTCGGATGGTCTCCGATGACAAGACGAGCAATAAGTGGTAGAAAGGCGGATAGAGTGATTTCGAAGCTAGATTTTTTCTCTTATACTGTGGAAGCTCATGGCTTTTGTGTTAGAATTTGGCTTTTTTGGAATGAGTCAGTTGATATTGAGGCTGGCAAGATGATGGATTCTTTCATAGTATCTACAGATCCAGGCCCTCCAACTTTGCTGGAGCTTTTTCCTAGGTCTTGTAATATGGAGGTAGACAAGTTAGTTAAGGAGTGGATTGGTTGATTGTTTCAGGCATTTGGTTGTACTGTTTTCTGTTGTATTCCAGGAAATGTTTAGCCGTTAAGTCTTCATTGTTGTTGCTAAATTGGTTAACAGCTCAGCCAAAATTTATACTGTGTTAGTAGCTTAGTTGGTTTAGGCTGAGCTAGTTTTGTTGTATAGGGTTGTCTTCGGTTCTTTTTTGGTTTTTTGGTTATGTTGGGGGTGTTTATCTGGTTGTATCTTATGTAATTTCTTTTGGTTAATGAAATCTTTAGGCACTCTTTTCCTCCTTCCGTTGATTAAGGAGCTTCTCTATAAGCTCCTTTAATCAAGAAGGGGGTTTTTAACGAGGCCTTCCATTCCTATAAAAAAAACACGTATCAAGACATCGAGAAAACCAGAAAGTATGACAGTTGATCATGAAAAACAAGAACAGCTAGTGCAGCAAAGAAGCCATCTAATTAAATCTCAGAGGGAAAAAGTACGCCGACTCTGAAATATGTAACCTTAACAATTCCAACTTATTCACTTACTCATAAATAACATGTTGCCGCATGCTGAACCCATATAATACCAAGAAGACTAAACAGTTATCTGATTACATATTCTTACTGGTACTTTATCTAATTAAAACTCGAACAGGCTCGAAGATATAGGATCACAACGGTGAAGGCCAGGAAATAGATGACAATCATACCCAGGGATTTAAATAGCCGTCCTTTATTAGAATAGCTGCCGTTATATAGCTGTAAAGGTGTCATCCGAAACCGTTATTGCAGGACAGCGATACCCACAATACACCCGCTATTGCGGCAATTGCAAACACAACATAACCGAAAAGGTGAAAGCAACCACAGTTTAAATCACTGAATTCATACCTAATTCAATAATCAACTTACAAACACAAGAAACGGAATTCAAACTCTCTACCAAATCTCTTAAACGGAATTCACAAAAAAAAAAACCCTAAAATTTCAAACAAACGAAGTGCAATTATCTTCGTGTATGCTTGTTAAAGTTGGAAACAACAACCAAACCCTCAATTAATTCCAAAGCCCCATTAAGGAAACATCAATAAATAAAGCAGATCAAACCCGGATACGAAAATCAATCAAACAAGGGGGGAAACCCCAACTTTTAAGAATCGAAATGAAAAGAAAAGGGCTTACAAAGAAATGGGAGAGATGAACAATGGTCCAAGCGGTTCCAGGAGAGGTACCCAAGAGAGATAAAACGATGAGCCATGAAAAGAAGACGAACAATATATAAATGGACCAGACTCCTGGATAAGTGAACCACTCGGTGTTCTTGTTTAGATCTGTGGTAGGCTCAGCACTCACGTACATCTTTTGCTTTTTTTCTTCTTCTTCTTCTTTCCTCGTATTATTACAAATTAGGGTTCTTGTCTCGAAGCTTGAACAGAACGGATGTTGGTTCAAAGATGATGTGTAGTCTTTGGGTTTTACTTGTTCAAACCTCGCTTCTTCTATGCGCTTTCCTTATATGTACTACTGTCACTGGCCGATCACGGTGATTAAAAAAAAATAGTTGTCTCTTGTTATCATATGTAATGGGGGTAGTTCTGCGGTGCGGCGTCTAAAAAACGGCTAATATACGGTGTGACCGGTTAAATAAGTGACCGGTTAAAATTTAGACCGGTTATGTTATATTATTTAACCGGAAATATTATAAAGTACAATAACATACTAGGTAGCGCTTATATAATGTAATAGGTAGCGCTTATATTTACCTATTTTATAAGTAAACCGGTATATTTATACCGATAGCATTGCAAATTTACCTATTACATTATATTATATTGAAAGTGTCCATACTTTTTATAAAAAGGATCGATACTTTAACAGTGTTTCATGTTTTCCACCTACAATATTAATTTAATAATTTCATTTGCACAAAAAATTATTTGATTGTTTTGATATTTTATAAAATAATATTTAGAATTTTTAATTTAATAATAATATATATCGTAACGTAAAAAATAAATCATTAGACGCCTATAATTACTAAATTAATATCTTAAAACTCACTCAAAAGATAACCTTAAATTAATGTTTTCCACAGTGAAAAAAGTATGGACACTTTTATAAAAAGGATAGACACTTTACAATATAACCACTACCTATTACATTATATAAACGATACCTATTACATTATATAAGGGCTACCTATTACATCATATGTTTACCTATTATATTGAAAGTGTCCATACTTTTTATAAAAAGGATCGATACTTTTTTTAAAAGTTATGTAATTTATGTTTCAATTTTTTTAACAGTGTTTCATGTTTTCCACCTACAATATTGATTTAATAATTTCATTTGCACAAAAAATTAGTTGATTGTTTTGATATTTTATAATATATTATTTAGAATTTTTAATTTAATAATAATATATACCGTAACGTAAAAAATTAATCATTAGACGCCTATAATTACTAAATTAATATCTTAAAACTCACTCAAAAGATAACCTTAAGAACACTTGAAGAAGCAAGAGAACAACTATCCAAGCAATCAAAAACGAGAAAATCCCAACATGATAACAACTGAACATATCATATCAATGTTCCTTTTGCTTGGCACCATATGAGCTTTGGATTTTGATGAGCATCGGAAGTATTTCAGACTTATGATTTGGGTGGTACTCAACTTATGATTTTAGTTGCTATTTGTTACATTTCTTGTATACCACCCAGATCATACGCCCGAAACGTTTCTGACGCTTTAAAGTTGACCAAAAAATAAAATGGTCGGGATTTCCCTCGCGTTTATACGTTGGAAAAAAAACAATGGAAATTAGGAATAATCAATGATAACATGCATATTGGCTTGGGCTAATATTTATAGTGGAGCCGAAATAAATATTGAAATTCAAACTCAAATTGAAATTTAAATTCAAACTCCAATTACATATGAAATGAATTTGAAATGCAGTGTTAAATTGAACATGAAAATTGCATAATTGATTCATACTGTTCAAGTAACATGCTTTATGAACCATCAAGCTAAAAGACAATATTGATTGAGTTCAAAGCTGAGTTGTGAGTTGATGGAGTTGTCACACTTGTCACATGGTTGGAATAAAGTACTCACATGCGAGATAGATTGTTTTGTTATACATAACCCATCTCAACGAAATTAATCCAATGAAAAAGAGTTATTTCTAACAAAGTCCGGAACATTATTTTTCCAAATAATGTACCCATAACAATGTTCAATTAATGTACCCACAACAATGTTTAATTGATTTGTTGTTTAATTTTCAATTTGAATTATTTGATTTAATAATTTCATTTGCACAAAAAATTATTTGATTGTTTTGATATTTTATAAAATAATATTTAGAATTTTTAATTTAATAATAATATATATCGTAACGTAAAAAATAAATCATTATACGCCTATAATTACTAAATTAATATCTTAAAACTCACTCAAAAGATAACCTTAAATTAATGTTTTCCACAGTGAAAAAAGTATGGACACTTTTATAAAAAGGATAGACACTTTACAATATAACCACTACCTATTACATTATATAAACGATACCTATTACATTATATAAGGGCTACCTATTACATCATATGTTTACCTATTATATTGAAAGTGTCCATACTTTTTATAAAAAGGATCGATACTTTTTTAAAAGTTATGTAATTTATGTTTCAATTTTTTTAACAGTGTTTCATGTTTTCCACCTACAATATTGATTTAATAATTTCATTTGCACAAAAAATTAGTTGATTGTTTTGATATTTTATAATATATTATTTAGAATTTTTAATTTAATAATAATATATACCGTAACGTAAAAAATTAATCATTAGACGCCTATAATTACTAAATTAATATCTTAAAACTCACTCAAAAGATGTATATACCTAAATATGTAGTTAACAAACATACCTAAATATGTAGTTATTGTACATACCTAAATTTAATGATAATATACTTGTAGTTATTGTACATACCTAAATATGTACTGCGAATTTAATGTTGTACCCACCCTTTAACTACCACTACCAATGCCACATCCTATTGAAAGCAGCACGACAGAAACATGTTCAAAATGAACCTTTGTTTACATATCCATCAACTCCTGGAGCACTGAACTTGCACAACAAAATTTTTGCCATGGATAATACTGATGTAGACAATGTTAAGCCAACCGAGGAATGCCATGAAGTACATAATGTTGATGAATCTGACAGATTGGTTGGTCAGCTCTTCTGTTCACGTGATCAAGCTTGGCACTTTTACAAGGGATTCGCACGGGAACATGGGTTTAGTGCACGTAAGGGAACAACACGGCTTGACGTGGAAGGGAATGTGAAGACACAAGAATTTTGTTGTTCCAAAGAAGGGTTTCGAGTATCAAAAGTCAATATTGTTGATCGTCAACGTGCTCATACGCCAGTCACAAGAACAGGATGTAAGGCTAGAGTCGTAGTTACAGCAACAAATACAAACGATCAGTGGGTTATAAGTAAGTCTGATCAGAAACATAATCATGCATTGTGCACATCTGCTATGACACCATTTATGCGTTCTAATAGAGCTGTAAGTAAGGCTGATATCGATGAGGCAACAACATTGAAAGAGATCGGTGTTGGCACGTCACAAGTAATGAACTATTTAACACAGCAGGCAGGGGGCTATCATAATGTTGGATTTACACATAAAGACCTCTACAATGCACTTCAAAGAGGTAAAGCAAAGGAAATCGTCGATGGGGATGTGAATGCGCTATTGCCTACTTTGATTATAAGAAACATGATGATCCCGGGTTTTTTATGACATACTCGGTAGACGAATCGGGGGCATTGTATAATCTTATTTGGTCGGATTCTACATCGAGATCGGATTACACATGCTTCGGTGATGTAATTGCGTTCGACACAACGTACAAAGATAATTTGTATGGTCGACCAATTATGCCTATTGTTGGTGTCAATCATCACCATAACACAATTGTGTTTGCCACTGCCATAATCGCTGACGAAACGTCTCAATCTTTCGAGTGGGTGCTACAGAATTTTTTAGAAGCCATGATGAATAAATCACCTATTTCTGTTGTAACCGATGGGGATAGGGCAATGCAGAGGGCTATCAAATCTGTTATCCCTTATGCTAAGCACAGATTATGTTCTTGGCATCTTTCTCGCAATGCACAAGCTAACATTGGTGACCCAAAGTTTACAGCAGCATTCTCAAAATGCATGGCTTCCTGGTGGACAACCAAGGAATTTGATATTCAATGGCGTTCGATTATTTCAGAATTCAACGTCCAAAAGCATCCATGGGTGATTGAGAAGGGAAATACACGACACTTATGGGCACAAGCATATCTAACCGGTCATTTCTTTGCCAATATTCGCTCAACACAAAGGTGCGAGTCTATGAATGCTTCACTAGCTATTGCACTGAAACACAAGAAGACATATTTAGATGTTGTTCGTGCAATTGAAGATGGAATTAGTAGAATGCGTATGAACGAGTTGAAAGCGGATTACTTAAGTTCCCATACGAAGCCCTTCCAGATCACAAAACTGGTCGACCTTGAAAGCCATGCCGCTGCGATTTTTACCCGCGAATCTTTTCGTGTGTTCCAAGATGAACTTATACGGAGACATTGTACCGGATTGAGGCAGAGATTAAGTCCTTATCAGATGAATGTCAACATATATTTTGTCAAAGTACGCAGAAAAAAATAGGAAATTTGAAATTAGTTTTGATTCTCGTACGAAAACTCTAATTTGCTCCTGCAAAAATTCGAGACCATTGGACTTCCGTGTCGCCATCAACTTCACATTTTGAAGCAATTGGACTACACATATTTGCCGGGACTTTGATTCAAAGTAGGTGGACTAATGATGCGAAGGCTTCTGCACCCAGCTATGTTGATTTGAATGTGTCTCCAGAAGTGATGCAAATGGCAAGGTTCGCTGCTCTAACGTTCAACGTCAAGTAGGTTATGCTACATTGCATCAAAGACAGACGAGTCTTTCAAAACCGCAAGAGATGAGATGAAAAAACTAATAGAAGAATTAGAAAACTCGTTTGGTTTGAATCATTCAGTCAACCAGAGCATTGTAGTAAACAATGTTCGTGACCCTCAACGAAAACAACGCAAGCGAAAAGAAGTGCCGAAGAACAAGGTCGAGAAGAAAATTAGGCGATGTGGGTACTGCAACGGTGAGGGGCATAACAAACTAACATGTCCTCAAGTCAATCTTAGTTTGAGTACAAGCACACAGCCTACATCAACTGATTTTTTCGAAGACGGAATGGAATGACAACGATCTCCATATAATATATCGTAAGTATCAACATGACTCCTATTGTATGTACATATAAATATTTTGAATGAAGGAAGAAAAACCGCGTTACTTCAAATTACCGACACTTTTTTCAATGGTATCGACACATTTTTATTCCAATCTGGACATAAAGTACCGATACAATATTATAAAGTGTCGATATA